GCTTAGGCACCAAAAACAACACTGGACGAGGCTACTTCATTCGTACATGATGGAACTCCTGGTTTTGGAAGAATATCAGACGAATCGTTGTGTCTGGTCGACCACCTATGTATGTACATGCAGGAATATTTGGCCCTTTTGTGGAAAACCTGCCGCCCCATACAAGACCCGTGTTTACTTACAGGAAATGGCGATACTATCTGTTACTACCTTAAACATGCGTAAAAAACATTTGTTTTACTCGCAAAACACGGGCCCGTATTCCGACGCACATATTATATTGTATTATATTATAATATATAGTATTATATTGTATTATATTGTATTATATTGTATTAGATTATATATCACTATACATATTATATTGTATTCTGCTATATGTTATTGTCTTACATGTAACATGTAGATGTATGTGTATGTGTATGTGTATGCGTACGTATATGTATGTTTATGTGTATGAGTATGTATATGTATATGTATATGTATATGTATATGTATATGTATAATATTCCTGTTTCTGGAAATGGTTTCTTCGCCGCGTATTGCTTTCCTTTCGCGGGACTTCGCCCTCACTGTCGCGCGACATGTTTGAAGTAGCGCGGGTTGCGTGCGGTGGTGGCAGCCTGCCGAGGGCAAAACGGCGACGGGAAGCGGCCGGGCCAGCACGGCGAGTCTTTTTTCCTTTTTCCCCACACACCTTTTTGCTGTTTTGGCGGTCTCTGTGCAGGTCGCCCGAAACCAAGGCCAGACTACGTAGGCATGTCAGGGCATGCGGCTGCCAAGAGGAGGGGGGGCCGATGGTTCGGCCAGAAGGTCACTGAGGAGCCGAGGATCTCCGTCGACACTCCGTCGACATTGGCTGCACCGGAAAGCGGCAGGGATCGGCAGGGAAAGGAGGCTGGTCGCGAAGGCGCGGGCAGCCAAACGGCCATACGCTCATCGACACCACCGCCGAGGTAGGCGACTTCCGGCGGTTGCTCCCCGGCAGCATTCCAGAAGCGAGCCCTGCCTCCGTGGAGACGGATCCACGCGCGATCCCGTGCGGCATCGTAACAGGCATGAACCCGCTCACCGTTCTTGAAGTTGACGCTGCAGGTCGCAGATGGTCTCAGAGCGGGTCATGCTGCGCGAAGGCATCAAAGCGTCGCCAGGTTCCCACCATCTAAGCGCTCGGGAAGGAGGAGTGGCGGAGCTCGCGTCGCATGGCGTCGCGCATACAAGGCACCGAGCATCGCGACAGATCACGACGCGCGCCCCGTACGGTCGAACGCGTTGACGGCATTGACTAAGACTCGCTGGGCGTGCGGAGTATAACGGGCTGTCAGCTTGAGACGAGCACACGCGCCGAAGATCCGTCCCCGATCCACTCCGAATGTCCATCCAAAAAATCTGGGATAAGTAAGTCACGAGGACTCTGGCCAGCTGGGAAGCTAGCTCAGTGTATGTCTTGGAAGGAAAGGCTGGAACTGAAGACCTTCGTGAACCCTAAGTGGCCGATCGTCTTGTACTCCTCAGTTTGGCGGCGACCGAGTGGCGACGAGTGGGAATGGGAGAGGCTAGGTTGTCACTTGGACTTGCTGAGCGAGGTCGGGAGAGATTAGGGCTCCTTCGATGGCCGAGAAGACGACCGAACGAGAGAAGTCCACCCGGTTCAAGCTGTACACTGGGAGTTGGTGGCGAAGGAGAGGGTTGTGTCAGCGCGCCTCTCCGCGCCCGAGGCTCGGAGCGAGAAATGGAGACCAGGTATTCGCCGGGTGCCTCTGGAGACTTGCCGGAAAATATCCAGGGTTGACCAAGGCGGTCGTGGCTGGGTTTAAGTTAATATAGTTGATGGTGTCTGAAGTGAGCACCACTAGGTCGGTGTCCCGATCTTAGTCTTTTCAATCCTCACGACGGACATGCCGGAAAAGGCATTGAACTGGACCATCAATACTCCGAGAAATCATGCCACGGTGTTAATCATCTTGCAGCGTCAACATCGTTGACTTGCGCAGCACTCCAAATAGTTGCCGCGAGAGGTCACGGACGTAGACAAGTTCTTCAATTTCAACTTCGAAAAACTAGAAGAAGAGAGAATGAGAGAGACTTGTGACAGCAAGGCTCTTGTCGTTCAGCCGATTGACCTATGCACTATGACATGTGCAGACAAATCTCAGATTTACCACTTTCCATTCTGCACATGCCTTGCGTGCTGTTGCGAGCCTCGTCACCTGCACTCTGATTTTGAGCTACTTGCAACTTCCAACTCCACGAAGCGCGGCTGTCCAAAGGCATCGCATACCTCACTGAATGTAACATCAAAATGCTTGCCGTGGCGCAAGCTGCTGCACCCACAATCAGCAGCAACCACTACAAGGCACACAACAAGCAAGCAAACAAACAAGTCAGGGACTGCGCATGTCCTGGCAGGTGCAAACAATCAACCCAAGGCAAACTCGCTTGCTTCGTGCTCTGATTGGCACAAGGACTATTTAATTTAGGTCTTTGATTTGCCAAAACCCCGCATGGCAGTCTTGGCCGCCGGCTGTGTCCAGCAAGTCGAGGCCCTCAGCATTGAGCCAAAGTCACCATGGGTGACTGTTGCAAAGTTCTATCTACACGTGATGGCACTTCGTGCCTCCATCGATGCGAACAGGCCCGAATGGGACTCCTGTGTTAAACTGCAGAACTCTGTTTGCAGAATGTTGCGTGAGTCTGAGTCGCGTCTTTTGTCGGTTCCGACTTGGCCTCGTCGGAAAACCTCTCGAAGAGTGCCGGATGTGTATGATGCACTTCCAAGTATATGCGCGCACCGGGCAAGCCAACTCGCCGCGCACTGCAAAGAACTTCGGCGATAACAGAAAGGCCATCAGGGCCGCCATCGAGAGCACCGTGATCTTCGAACTCACGAACATCAACTTGTAAGCCAGGAATTTCATGGCTCGGAATGTAAGGTGGGTTGGACACAATAAGATCGAAAGCTTTGCCGGACATGCTTGCCCACTCTTCCGACGAGGCATGCCGAACTTCCAACCTGTTCTCCACGCCACACCTGGCCGCATTGGCACGTGTTAGGGCGACGGCATCTTCCGAAGGGTCCACAGCAACGGCTGTGGCCATTGGGAAAGCATGGAGCAAAGAAAGCACAATGGCTCCGGATCCGGAGCCAAAATCAACCAAGCGCCGGGGGTGGCAGTTGCCATAGTGCTTGATAATCCGATCCACAAGCTCCTCTGTTTCAGGCCTGGGGATCAATACTGGTGGCCGGACCAAAAGCTCTGTGGGGAGGGGATGAAAAGGCCAGCTCCCGAGTATGTACTGGACAGGCTCACCTTCGCCGCGGCGTTGCACCCAGTTCTTGAAAACTTTCCTCCAGTCTGCAGTGGAGCTGCGCCGCAAATTTTCCAAGAACCATCTCACAGAAGCTGCAGCCTCCGCTTTCTGCAAACCTGATGGATCGAGAAAGTGGCCTGTGAGTTCCCTGAATGCAAGGACGCGCCTGCAGCTTCAAGGGACACCCGTGCAGCTTGTGCTTCCGCGGCTTCTGCTATGGCCTCAAAACTCTTGCTCAACTGCCTAGTGGTGGTGCCTTGCAGGTCTACCGTTTCACTAGGAGTCCATGTGCCATGGGCACGGGTCAAACAACATATTGCTGGCGGTATCCTTTCGATTCTGTAGGCCTCGCTGCGCTTGTCTCCCAAGCTTTTGCGTGCAGCTCGATAGCTCCGCAGACCTACAGTCAATGAGGGTATCAAGCGTGTGGCACTGCTTGGCGTTGTCCTGCCTCTGCGGGCAAACAGAACAAATAGAATGCACGACGCCGTCAATCGCCGCGGAGGAGGATTCCTCGGCAGCTGGCCCGGCATTCCTCGCCCGCTCTCGTGTCACCATTTTCACAACAACTAAGGCAGCAGGCCAGGAGTTATCAGTTCTCAAAGCTGCCTCATCTTACAAGGACCAACTTGCAATGCGCGATTTGCAGGCACAATCCTGCCTTGATGCAGGGTTGGCCTGCCAGCAAGTGTGGGCTTCTCCATCGCAGGGCCTGCAAACCAAGCCAAGAACTTTCCGTCTGCTTTGTCAAACCTCGCAGGCTTTGTTTGGTTGCGGAAGTTGGCATACCTGACGCAATCTTTGTGAAGGGCCAGTTAAATGGGCACCGGTTCAGAGAACCCAACAGGTCAGGGGACAAACGGAATGACTTCCAAACTCCCTCTTTGGCTAGCTTCAATGCACGAATGAAAGACATCGAACTTTGGGTGATTCGGGCAAACGACGATTCTGACGATATGTTGCTAGCCCGCCTCATCTTAAAACTGAAAAATGACTCTCAGTGTTTTCCCTGAGCAACCAAAAGCCAGGAATCCTGACAATCCTATGCACATGCACATTGAACTAACAACCTCCCGATACGATACCAATGCAAATGCTGTTGCAATTCAATACTGGCACTAAGAAGCTGTAGCTGTTGCAAGAGAGCGCCTCAGGAAAAATGCTCCGGCCAAACATGCTCAATGAGAGTTGCTGTTCATGTGCGTGAGTGCTATTGCATTATGTCACCATGGCAGTCATGAGTCATGTGTGTGTATCTAGGTCGGCTCCTGCATGTGAAACCTTATGTCGATTTAGCAGTCGCATGTTTCAGCAACAAGCGGAGCAAGCAAGGCCCTCAACCGATGTCAGAAACAGTAGTTCTTGAAATAGATTACATTTTGCGATGCTGGGTGCACTTGGCGAGGGCACAAAAGTTGCAGGAGTTGCAGCGGGTCGTTTCGCAAGCCGCATGTTCGGCGCACGATGGACACATTTGCATCCAAGATGAGGTGAGACAAACGAAACAACAAATAATAACGTGGAAGTTCTGCGTGCCTCCAAGAGCCCGCTCACTGCCAAGATTCACCGCGCCGTCGTTTTGCACGTTCCTGCAATGCGATGTACCAAGGCACTGATTGACTGACTGACAAGCCTGCGTGGAGCAAAACCTGTTCTATCTCCTCTGCATGTTCGCGTTTGCATCTAGAACTTCTTTGTGTTCGCTCACTTCCAAAGGGATTATTGGCACGAAGGTGGACCGATCCCGTTTGTCAACGCATTGACCCGGATGTTCTAGGATTCTAGGCAAAAATACACCTAACATCACCTAACCATGCAACACTGGCACCTGGCCATACAACACTGACCCAATGCTTCTTGTTCATAATTTTCACTTCGAACCCAAACCAGCATTACGATGACGTACGATTCACAGTCATGTTCCTTTGAATAGGCTTGGCTTCTTCACCGGAGCCCTTGCTCTCATCCACACTTTGCGCAAATATCCCTTGGAAACAAGGTGCGACAAACACGCACAAACAAACGCACACGGCTACCGACCCGAGAATGTCCGGATATCTTCCGTGTGCACCTGCGCACATTTTCAAGAGTGTCAAGTTTTGTCACGGTGCCATAAACCACCGTGTGGCAACAACGTTTACAGCCGAGCGACATGGCTAAATGGATGAAGAACTTGTAAATTGCACTCCTGATGGCTTCGAATCCTAAACAGCTGTGCAAGGGTTCTTGGTTATGCCTCTGGCCATCACGAATGCAGGTACGCGGATTTGGCGTCCAGAATAAATATCACAAGCGCCATATGGGGGCGCTCGCCATGGACTAAGCTCCGAAAGCCCCTTGCAGATGAAATATCAAGATTGCAGTCTTCACTGGTACCTGGTATCAAAGGAGCGCACACACTTGGAACGACCCTCGAGAAGGCCGAAGCTCTAATTTAATATGGGTCAACAAGTTGACATCCTTCTTCGCATCACACGTTGAATCTCGTGTAAACTTGTCATCGCTGATCTGGCGACTGCGAAACAAAAAGATTCTTAAGGGAAGTCTTCGCTGGTCATTTGCAGGTACGTATAGAATGCGTCCTTTCTTTATATCACTGTGGAAAGCGGAAAGAGGACGTCTTCGTTGGCAGGAGACGTTCAATGTATAATCCTGCCGCTTTGGCCACGATTGTGCACACACGCACACAGCTGCCCCTTGATGGTGACATAGAATTTGAAACATGTTCATCATTTGGTTATCTGCGGATGTCACAATTTCGGCTCTTCAAATGGGCGACGGTCTAAGATGAGACAGGGGGCGAAGCGGTGAAATGATAGGGTGATGTAAAACCAAGGCTGGAACAAACGGACGAATGTACTCGTCTGTACCAAAAGTAGCTAACAATTAGGTTTGAACTGCAACAGCGAGATATGGAAGGGCAAGCAAGAAGCGAGTCGTCTCACGGTTCAAGTCCTAGCCGATGAGGGGGAAAATGGGGGGATACCAGCTTTTTGGAACAGCTTGTCTTCAGTCCGTTACCAGGTTTGCCGGCATCCACATATGTAATACATACGAGTACAGGATGTTGTAGTAGCAACTCCCAAGTTCCCCAAAAAACGCGTGCAAAGTGAATATTCTGCAATCTGCATCCGGCGCCAGGCTGTGTGGAGTCATAAGGCGGGGCAACCTACCCTGCCCCAATACGAGCCACGAATTCTGCGAAGGATTGCTCGTAAAGTTTCCTGTCAGTTCCCTTGTACCTGACATCCTGTGCGGGCGCGGCAAACACATGCATCTGCTCATTGCTCGCCTGCACAACCTGAGTGAGCCAGTTTGAGATGGACACGAGCAGGTATCATGTCAGAAGTATTCAGAAGCCTGTCGGCGGGCGCATGCGCTTGGGGCTGAGGATGTACCGATGCGGATTGCCGGCAGAAGTTGGGTGCGGAGAGTTTGTTTCGGTGGGAAAGGGATTGTGGGTTGCACCATCCATGAGCGAGCGAAGTCGGCCTCCCGGGGCTGCAGGATCTCCGGGCAGACAGCCGGAATGATCGCCGAGCGCAAAAGAAGCAGCATGTCAGGTGTCATGGGAGCAGGATGGTCCACCTCGATGAACACGGCGTTTACGATGCAGGTCCGGAACCAGACCCCAGGTCGCGGTCCGGATGAGCACCTCCGCACAAACATGCTGCTGCACGGACCATGACCAATTCGAACCCGATTGAAAGCTGCGAAAGAACTTCCTTCCGGTAAAGACCTTCAGGCACGTCGACCGATGTGTCTCTCGTCATTGCCATGTGAATGGATGAAATCTTACTTTCTTGTTTAGGTAAGCTTTAATCTCGGAACCAAATAATTTTCTTTCGAGTTTAGCTATACTTATGTTTCGGGTTGAGCTAAAGTCCATTTCAGTTTTGACGAACCCTCAATTCCGGGTTTAGCTAAATTTTAATTTCGGGTATAGCGAAACGTTAGTTTTTGGTTTCATGAAATTTTACTTTCGGGTTTAGCTACCCTCAAGTTCGTGTTTAGGATAGGTGAGCACTGCACTTACATGGAAATCCGAGCTGTCTAAGGTGTAGTTGGCAAAAGGCTTGCAGTGGTAGCCCGAGCTGGGCAGCATCACCTGATCTCGCTCCGTAAGCAAGCGCATTACAGCATTCCCTATTACGTCATGAGCGAGCTAGGTATGAAAGGTCTGGAACGGCCAGATCAGCCCGATTGGTCCACCATTAGCATGGAAGAGTTGACCCCATCCGCGTCGTGATGACCTTCGCCGAAATCTGGTCACCGAGCCACGAAATGAAAGGGCTATGGGCAGTGGGAGCCTGCCCCTCAGCCTTGTGGTGGTGCCGTGGTGGGGAATAGCCATCTCCTGCATCTCCTGCTTGGCCGCGATCCCGATCGTTTTCGTGCCAAGCGAACCCTCAAACATATCTCACACATCTCGCGATGCGGCCGCCGGAACAGTAGTGGCACGATGGATCCCGCCGTCTTCGTGGCCACCCAATTGGGGTGCTAGACTGACCAGGCCGCTCTGATTCACCGGACAGAACGATGGCTGTCGGCACCATGGATCTAGTTCTCACCTCCCACGACGATCAAAATAATGAAGCGATCGCTGAAAAATGGCCACGGAGAACTGACCATCGTAGAGCATGTCTTGCACGTCTGTCCCGCGATCGGTCAGACTGAACCCGTGATTCAAGTCAACTTGCCAACCACATACAATTAGCTAATTAACGGCACAAAGATTCGGCGTTACCGGCAAAAGCGGTGCCTTTGCAAGGAGAGCACAGGCTGGATCAAACAGTCGGCTCTCCAGTCCGACATGCCGACCTTGAGATGTCCAGGCCAGGTTGAGGGCACTGCGCTGCGATCTGAGTGCTGAGACTTCTGCCGTATGCTATCTCGAAAAACTGGTCCATTGCTGGCATGACCTTTGTGGTGGATTCCGAGACGTTGAAGAAATGCAACAAAGACTGACCACGGGGAAGGGGCCTTACTGCGCAGCTTCGACGCTTCCTAGACTTGGGCCAGAAGAGCCCACTTCGCCCACGAGACTTTCACAAATCAAGCACGAGACCTTGTCTGCAGCAGTCAGCCATTCCAGGAACGTGCTCTCGCGTAAGTTCTGCAACGCCTTCCAGTGCCGAGTCGAAGTACCCCAAAAGTTTCTGTCAGCGGAAAGGCGCCTGCAGCAAGCAAAACGTGAGCACTCCTTGTTGACTGTCGTTCAGGTAAGCTTCAATTGCAGACTGACCCGGACCTAGGCTAGGTCGTGCGGACGGGCACCCAAGACCTCTGGGTGCTGCCTTGTGATTGTTACGAGAAGGGCGCCCACCGCAAGCAGTGATGCAAAAGACTGCCAAGCCTTGGAATGTTGTGAACACCATATGGGGCAGTGACGACCAGCTTGCCCACCTTCGTCAAGAGGCTTCCTCTCGTCCGGCAACAGCCGCCCCAGCAATGTCCAGAATGACCTGACCCATGCGAACGCGAGACAAGGCGAGGCTACCAAAACCTTCCAGCCAATGCTGTGACGTGCTGCCTTCTGACCACTCGCGACACGTGCCGAGGCAACGCATTCACCTTTGATAGCACAAGAGCGTTATAGCTCCAGAGTCTGCGAAGAACGACTGCCAGCTAGGCTTCAGAATCTGACATGCTGATGCTGTGACCATGCGTTCTCATCATAAGGTTGGTCCTGCTGTCAGCGGCGGGCATCTGTCCGTGCGTCTGCGATCGCAATCGAGGTTGCAGGCCTGAAGTGGAGGTCCGTTTCGCAGCTCATGGAACGGATGC